GACCTGCCAGCACCTTCCCCCACTCCATGAAAAGGGAAGCTGAGTGTACCAGCAGCTCCTAGGATGGTGCTAAGGCAAAAACATCACCCCCTCACCCCCTAGAGCCCTGCTCCAACCCCTCCAGGACACGGCAAACCCCCCCTCTCCCAAGCCCCACCGAGCTCCTACCTGGTAGAGGGAGAGGTAGAGCACCCTGAGCAGGGCGAAGAGCAGGCTGTCCCGCAGGGGCTCGAAGAGCAGGGCGCCGAGGGAGGCGAGGATGCCGAGGAGGCAGAGCAGCTCCATGCCCAGCTCCGTGTCCAAACCCACCCGGGGACCGAGCCACAGCAGGGTGGGGGAATCCCGGAGCTGCTCCCACAGCCCCTTCCCGCTGGGACGCAGCACCTTGCGAGCCGGGAGGATGCCATCTCTCCCGTACAGCCCTGGAAAGGGGGCAGTGACAGCGGTGACGATGCCTCTCCAGCCCCCTAAGCGTGGGGCAAGAGAAATGGGAGCCCCCCCCCCCCCCCCCGCCAACACTGTGGCAAGTGGGGGGCTCCTGCTAGCTCTCCCTGCACGCTGGCATCCCGGTTTCCTCGGGAAACTGGGAAGGGAGCAGCAGTGGGAAGAGCCCAGCTGCTGCCAGCCCCAGCCTGGCGACGTGGAAAGGAGCCGGAGGCCCTGCCCGCGGCAGGGAGGGGGGATCGAGGCGGGCAGAGCTCTGCCGCGCTGCGCCGGGGAGGGGGCGTGAGGGTCTGGGGAGGCCCCCGGACGCCCGGGGTGGGGTGGAGGGAGGACAAGGACCCTCTCCCCACGGAAAGAGGCTGGCCTAGGCAGCTCCCCGGAGCCCAGGGCACGGCTCAGCCCCTCGCTGTCTCCCGGGGAGGAAAACGGGATGCTGGAAGCGGGACCGCTACCGGGAGTCGCTGCCAAGCCCGGCAGCGGGATGCGGAGCCCCAGGGAGTGGCCGGGACAGCCGCCGGGACAGCCGGCAGGCTCAGCCCCGCGCCCCCGGGGGAAGAGGGGCTCCACGGCCCCTCGCCCCACACAAAGAAGGGGGTGACCGGGCACCAGGCGAGGGGGGCTCCGCACCGAGCAGCCCCGAGCCCGCACCGCAGCCCGGGCTCCGCTGCCGCCGGCGGGCCCAGCCCGGCCTGCCCCGGTGAGGCCTATGGGGCCTGCAGCGCTGAGGCCTAACGGCCCCCCG